CATCCCATCCTCTTCTTGAAGTTGCTTCATCCATCATCCCGCTGCCCCTTACTGCATCAGAGCCTCTGCTCGCACCCTGCCCTGCTCTTGTGGATGCAGACACAATGCTTTTGTTTGATTTACACTAAGCTGTTGACTGCTGGGGCTTTTTGTACTATAGTCTGCAGATGATCTTAACCACCATGTCTCTACGGTCACTACTGGTGAGCTAGGGGATTGCCGTTTCCTTGTGGTGACTCTGCACGATTGTAGGTGCGTTCCAAGATCACAGCCCATCCCAAGGCCCAGAAAGCATCACCTTTCCTCTCCAGATGGGAAACTAGGCAGCTGTGCCCTGGATCATCAATCTCCACAAGCCCCCCAAAGCCTGATTATCTGGGCTGTATTCCAAGAGAAAAATTCCTCTTGTTTAGGAGAAACAGCAAAAAAACAGTAATGTTGAGTGCTTAGTAACTGCCTTGCCATTTCATAGGCTTGGCATCAGATTTAGCCATGACAACACCCTAAGGACACAAGCTCTGCTAAGTGGTGTGATAGAAGCAAAGGAACTTTCAGCAACTTGAGGTTGTACAAGGCTATGACACAGGAAAGCTTTGTATTCAGATCTCCTGCATGGACCCACCCTACTAACCTTTCCCAACTTCCTTCTCCAGGTTCCCTCCCGGGCCACAGACTAACTTGGCTCCCATTCTTTGTCCTTACTAAACATTGCACAAAACATTTCAGTTCCCATTGACTATAATCTGACTAAGCACCATGGATAATACATGTGTCTCCTGAACACTAAGGGGGGGGAGGAGAATAGAATGTAGAAACAGGTTGTAAACCTGAGCAAGCAATAGAGCAGACAGCAAGGGGTGTCAATTCAATGCCTTCAAGAGGGATGGCCGTCTTCAACAGGGCAAGCAGGAAAAGCTTCATAGGTAGAAATAAGTGGGTTGGGTCTGGGAAGGGGCTATATAGGATCTCATCGGGCACAGTTTGGGGAAGGAAACTCAGTGTTGGCACAGACGGTTGTAGTATTATCCTGGGGCTGGTGAGCTCCATAAAAGGATGTTCCTGAGCAGATGACTAGGGCGGCCATCTGTGTGTCCAGAAACCCAGGGGCCTCCTCTGCCCTGATGACTGTCCTCCCATGTCCCACAGGCCTGGGGATTGGCTTGTTCTCTTCACATCTTCACTCTGTGTCGCCCAGCCCGAACGTTTTCAGTGCGTACAGGATGCATCTATAGGTGGCTCTAGCCCCTTATGGTTTTCCGCAGATGACTGCAAGCCTGTGTCCCGTCTGAGAAGGTTATACAAGCCAATGGGAACTTCCAGTGTACAGTTTAACTCCCTTGGCTGTGGCTTGCTAAAATGCACCACTCCTTATGGTTTCCCGGTCTCATATCGGGGAGGGTTTCACCACCCACCAACTCCTCAAAGCCCAAGAAGCCAAGGTTTAGAATAGAAAAGGAATTCGCCTCTGTACATGGTAAGGAAAGCAGGTAAGTGGAATAATGTTGACAAGAAAGGACAAGATCTGGAAGACAGAAGAGAAACAGAGTGAAGGTGAGTGCTGGTGCTTGCTGGGGCTGTGTGTGATCCAGCAGCATCTTCAGATCCAAAAATTCTTCTACACACTGAAGCTAAAGCATTCACAGCCCTCCCTGACTAGCAGTGACATCTAGGGAAGGAATGAATATGAAGGCTAATAAAGAATGAAATGAAGACTCTAGCCCAGGTTTGTCTGGCCACCTCTAAATTCTGTCATGCTCTGGAACCTCAGTTTCCCACCTGAGCTTCCAGCTTCCCTGTTGTAAACAGCTATGGGGGTTTCTGGAATACATTGGACACTCGGGCTCTATCTATCCATCCTTTAACTGGAAAGAGATGGGAGCTCTCTCCATCCTCTCACAGTGAGACTCGAGGTAGACATTAGAGTCTTTCCCACTGGGAATACATCACATTGTTTGCTGTAGAAATATGTCTATCCCTCCCATGTTCTGGAGCTTATGGAGTACCTACGCCTCTACCTAGTTTGGCTTCTGGCCCTTCTCAGCTCTGTCCATGTCATCTTCTACATTTACATCTTTCAGGTGACTCTTTTCTGATCAACCCAATGCTTAGGTTGGAAACTGACTAGAGAAGGGGTAAGAAAGGGGTGGTCATAGACCAATTCTATCCACATATGGCTACTTAAGTTTAATGACATTAACAACTTGATCTCTCATTACATTCACAGTATTTCAAGGACTCAGAAGTAGCTAGTGGTACCCTACTAAGCAATGTAGATCCCAAAGATGTCTTCTGTCCCTTACAGTCTTGTTGGAAATACCAGTCCTAGATTAGGAATTTGGGGACCTTCAACTAAGATATGGATAAAGGTGAGGAGCAGGTTTGAGGATGGGAGGGAATGTACACTTTGGGTTGATTTGAGTTTAAGGGTTCTCTAGGACCTCCACATAGAGATGTCCAATAAGAAATCAGGGTCCCAGTTTTTAGCACTCCCATCCTTGGGCACTTTAAACACAGTGGAAACCCATTAGGAACCTATTTTCAGCAATTTCAAGTACCTCCCTTAAACCCAACCCAAAACATCCCTAGATAACTAAGAAGGTGGGTGTGTCCAAATGAAGCTCAAGATGTGTGTGTCTGTCTAGGGCAACTTGAGAATATAGCAGACAACAAAGTCCTCTTGTTCAAGATTGAGCCCAAACTACCATCTCTGTTAGTTCTTAGAGGAAGTGATTTACCCACACAGGGATCTGAGGACCTCCGTGCAAAGTCAGGGATCATCAGAGTCAAAGTGATTCACTGGCACAGTCCCAACCACAACTCCACAACATCCTTGCCATGTACCAGATGATGAATGCCAAAGCATTTTCCCCCAACACCTTTCTTCGAGGTTACCCTAGCACCCTTCCTTATATAATAAGGCAGACACCATCTTGTCCTGTGACTCCATCACCACCATTTCCATTGGTTGTTCTGACATGAATATGCAGTTCCTGTATCTCCTCTGACTCTTCTGGAGTCCTAGACTTGGAGCTACATCAGTGTTCTGGGGTTCAAGTGGTACACACAGACCTGCCCCTCACCTCCTCCTGTTGATTGTTTCAGGAGACAGAACTGGGGGTATCCTTTTAAGTAGAACAGGAAGCTGACATAGAATAGGGATAAACAATGTGTTGAATGCTCCCAGAGCCAGGAGTGTTTCCTACTTCTCTGGGGAAGACTTCCTATCTCCACTGTGCCATTGGCATACCTTGGGTGTGCCCCCTGGTGGTCATCCTAAGCCCTGGTTGCTCCACTTCAGGGTCCTGATTCTCCCTCACATCACGGTCAGCCCTGAAGATTGTGGTTTAACTGGTTGGGAAAATATTTAAAGAATCCCTCATCAGGGTATTCTAATGTGTAGACCAGCCTGATAGTTGCTTTTGGAGGACACAACCCAGCCAAGTGCTGATCCCACGCTTGTGATGGGGTGTTTCAAAACTGTCCAGGGACCAGCTGGAGCTGTTCTACCTCAGGACAGAAGGAGTGGGGTTGTCAAAATGAACCCATGCCCTAGGCAGGGTGCCACATAGCGTAGCCAGTCTCCTTTGCCCCATCTTTCACCTCATAATGATGCTAGCTTGCTAATGGGTGGGAAGAGCAGAAGGGAGAACCTGCCCTCCTCATATCCTTCTAGCAGTCACTGCCTCACTTACCACTGACCCAGAACTACCAACACACATGCCGGACATTAGCAGCCCTGGCCCTCCCCCAACCTACCCAAAATTGGTGGGTAGACCAGTGGGTGGGTGGCTCGTATGTGTTTATAGAAAGCAGTTCTCTGAGGAGCTGATAAGGAAGAAAGGAAGATCTGCTACTGCAGCTCCACCCCAAGCCCAGACAACCCCCTTGCACTACCAACTTCCCCTCAGCTGCCCTGCCTTCTCCCTTGCATGCATTTACACACATATTATGCACACATACATGTATTAAATCTTTATACCTCCATTTACTCTTAGCTACCCTGCCTACACCCTCACGTGTATTCACAGATCCATTTCATATGCATACATGCATTATGCATACACCTGCAATTTCTCTTAGCTGCTCTATCTCTTTTCACATAAGCTCACATACAGGTATTGTTTAAGCACATGGACAACGCCAGACAAATCACATATGCATGTAAACACAGTTACTCAACTCCCCTCTGCTGCCCCTTCTCCTCCCTTGTAAACTCACACATACATTATGCACACACATAACACATTGAACACTACATACACACATATGCCACATTAGCCCCACTGGCTCCCATGGGTACCCAGCTGATCCATGTCTAATTGGGAGAATGAGATCAGCAGCTTTATTCTCTCCAGGTTTTGGAACCTGACCATATAAATGGGCACAGAGAAGCATGGGATTGGAGACAGGAAACTGGCAACCCATAGATGAATACATATCTGCAGTTTGGGCACATCCTTCCATCACTGCCAAGATATTGGATACCACTGACTGAGTCCAATGCCACCAGAAGCTATGGTCATAATGGTGGCATGAGCCTGGCTGAGACTAGCAGTGAGCAGACATTCCTCTGAGCTCCAAGTGCATGCTCCCAATGTAAAGCAGGTGTCTGATCCTCCTGCCCCAATCTAAGATGAAGCACCTAAAATGCAAAATTGGAGCTGAGAGGAGCGCTAGGTCTTTATTTCGTGGGTGTTCCTTGGGATGCAAGGGCTCCATTACTCAGAGGCCAGCAACAAAAGGTGGCAGGGGTCTTGAGGCTGGAGAGGAAGTGTATCATGGGCACATGAGCTCATTTGAAAAGAAGGAAGAGCAAAGATAGACTGCAGATGACTTGGAGGGGAGCTGGAATCAGTTTTCCGGGCATTCTGCAGCTTCCCTGGCTCACTGGAACAACCTCACTGGATCCCCTCCTCTTCCTTCCACCTCCTCTCATGGTCAAATGGGCAGGTGGGAAATGACCTCTCCAAACTCACTTTCACTTTCACAAACCTCTCCCCTTCCAGGCAAAGAGGCCTGTTATCTAAACTTCTGTCTGGGATCCATGCTCAGAAACTCCCAGAATGGCTATCAAAGTCTCCTTGCCCTCCAGGAAGGTCACTATCCCATGTTTTTGACTGCGAAGGGCCAGTTGCAGAGGTGTGCAGCCAACTTCATCCTTGATGTCCAGTTGGGCACCAGCCTTGACCAGCACTTTGAGGATGGCTGTGCTGCCCTTGAGGGTAGTCAGGTGAGCAGGTGTCCAGTCCACCTTGTTGCAAGCATGGACATCAGCACCACGCTCCAGAAGGTGGACAATGCCCAGGAAGGTCCCCTTCTGCACTGCCAGGTGGAGAGGAGTCCAGCCTGACTGCTCAGCAGCATTGGGGTTGGCCTCACCCTGTAGCAGTGCCAACACCACCACCTCCTTCCCATGGAAGGCAGCCAGGTGCAGGGGAGTCCAGTGCATGCTTCCAAGAGCATCCAAGTCTGCACGGCTCTTGGCCAGCAGATGAGTGATCTCCACATGGCCCTTGTAAGTTGCTAGGTGCAGGGGTGTCCATCCCTGTTGTGTGGGTAGCTCAAGGCTGGCCCCATGTCTGCGCAGCATCTTGAAGATAAGTTGCTTGCCCCTGGCTACAGCAATGTGCAGTGGGCTGTAGCCACTGTGGTCAAGGGCATCAGGGAATGCCCCACTCTTCAGCAGGTGCTGGATGGCTCTCACTTTTCCCCTTTCCACTGCCAGGTGAAGGGGTGTCCTCAGGGTTCTCTGCTGGGCATCTAACTCAGCCCCATGTCCTATCAGCAGCTTGACCAGACCAATGTGGCCAAGTATGGGCCACATGGAGGGGTGTCTTGCCCTCGGTCTCCTGAGGGTTGAGGTTAGCCTGTCGGGAGATTAGAAGCTGTGCCACATTCTCAAAGTTATCTTGTGCAGCTAAGTGGAGTGGGGTCCAGCCCTCATGCACCTGACCCCATGGTCCAGGAGCAGACAAGCAATGTGGTCATCCCCATTCTGGGCTGCAAAATGCAGTGGGGCCCAGCCATCCTCATCCGCATCAGCACCATGTGCCAGGAGCAGGGCACAGAGGTCAGGCTTCTGGTCCTGGGTGGCAATGAGGAGTGGTGTATAGCCAGATGCCATCTGGCAGTCCACTTCAACCTCGTGAGACAGCAGAAGTCTCACTTGCTCCAAGCTACCCTGGGCCACTAGGAAGTGGAGGGGAGTCACCTTGTTCACGTAGACATGTAGTTCTTCATCACTTGGGACTTCATCACTCTTGCTGTGAGAGAGCCGTAGGATCCACTTCAGGGAGTCACCTGAGCCTGCTAAGATAATGGGATAGGTTAATAAAAACTAGACCATTACCTGGTCACAGGTCATTTTATGCATCCCCCTGCCTCTTGGAGACACCTTGCAGAAACAACCTAGACTTGAGGGCAATGGCATTTTTGGTATCGAGGGTCACTGATTCGGATGGACGGAGATTGGAACCAGTGGGTTTTACAGAGGAGGCAGGATGGAGCTGGAGCCAGGAGGCCTGGGTGGAAATCCCCACTCCACTGCTGAACATCTCCTGGCTCCTGCTAGTTCCACATTCAGCTCTTTAAAGGGGAAATGAACAATACTGGTTCGTTCTGCTAGTTGGAAGACAGATTAGGTGGTTAAAAGTGTTCAGAGAAGGACCCAAGAACAAGGCAGGTTGTGAAAAGCAAAACTGCACTAGAACTTGGGCTTATGTGATACAAGATCTCCAGGCCTCACCTCCTCCTGCTCCATCTACTGTGTATCAGAAATAAATAATTACCACTGCTAAGCCACACCCCCTACAGATTCTGATTTATATGGGGTAGGCACTGGACACATCTTTTTTTCAAATAAGCCTAACACAAAGCCAATATTGAGAGAGCCAGTGTTCTATCACTCATGACAGAAACAGGGGAATCTAATCTTTAATGACACTGACATGAAGAAGAAACTCCAAGGACCTGGGTATTTTGGACCATCCCTGATGTGTGGTAGGCTTGAGAAAGAGAGAGGGGCAAGAAGGATGAGCAGAGAGAATAAATAGACCCCACCCTTTCCTGCATGTGGAGTCTTAGCTCCCATTTCACAAGGAAGATGAGGGAATGGATGGACCCCACCCTTCCCTACATGTGGAGTCTTTGGTCCCATCTCAGCACGACAGGCTCACCACTGTGTGTGAGCTCCTGCTTGACTTCCTTGCTGACCTGGGAAGGCATATACAGAGTGGGTCATCAGAGATCAGATCTGGTCCTTCCTGCTTTCCTATCTCCAGTGCTTTCTGTTACCTGTCAGGGTTCACATCTTACCTTCCCTGGGAAACCTACCAGCACATGTATAGAAGAAATCACTAATCAGGGAAGTTCTGGGACTTATCCTTCATTTAGAGACTTCAGGCTGTATCTTTGGAACCCTGGGGTAGTCCCTGATAGTTCCCATGTCAGAGTAGGGACAGGAGAGTTGAAGAATGATGCTGACATTCACAGCATGACAGCTTAGGATAAGGTCCTTCCCAGGGGCTCTGAGTTACAGCACCCATGTCATTTAAAGAACAGTTAGATAAATAAGGATCTGTGTCCTCCCCTATGGATTCTGGCATCCCCCAGCTAGTCTCCCTGGGTTGAAGAGTTAAGGGTGAGCTAGCCTGGCTTATAGTTCCCATGTAACCCTCAGTAGTCAAGTGGCCTGGTAAATGACAGCCTTTGCCTATTCCCTCACAGGCTAGCCAAGGACTATGGATGATACACAGTGGCTTCCAGTATCCCTACAGTGGCATGCCCAGCCTGCCATATTCACCTTGTGGAACTGGCTCAGTGATGGCTTGCAAGACACCTTCCGGGCTTCACACTCAGGGTCTGCCACAGGACTCTGGAGCAGGGACAACATCATGTCTGTCTAGATGGTCACATCTGCTCCACAAGGATAGGGGTAGAGAAAAAGTAGGTAACAGGCAAGCTCAATGATGCTCACTACATTTTAGATAATCTTACATTTCCTGAGTTCTCTTAAACACATTACTAAGTTCATGTATACTCCCATATGCCCACTACGAGGTAGGAAGCTGAGCCCTACCCTTGACATGGCTGGGGTACACTTGACAAGTCAGTGACCCTCTGAAGGTAAGTCTTTTTTCACATAAGGAGAAGACAAGGACCAGGTGATGGTTAAGATGCTCACCACTCTGTGTGTTGTCCCTAGCGGACCAAATAACCTCATCCCTTCCAGCCCATAGACTCCACAGTACACAAAGTCCCCAGAGATAGCTACAGAGCTCAGTGGCAGGACCAGGCTCAAATGTTATGGCTTCCATTTGCTGACTCTGTCTCCCTTAGGCACACAGTGAACACTGACAATATCCATCCTCGGCTGTACATCTTAGAACCTCCCAGCCCCACCTGGAAAATGTCTTATTCATTTTCTAAGCTCTAGTGCCAAGGGTGTCTCCTGTCCCTCCCTCTCTAGCTCCTAGGCATGGGATAATGAGTGGATACTTAGAAAGCATGGCCTCTTCTTGGGGTCTTGGTCACAGCAGCGCTTCATCAGGTTCACCATCTGATGGGCCTCCTCTGGCCATTCAGGCTGCAAGGAGGGCCTCATGCCTGCAGCTACCTGGGTGATGATGGTTATCATATTGAGCCCTACAAGGAAAGATCCAGGCTGTGCAAGTTTCAAAAGGTGAGAACCGAGGGCTGGCAAGTGGAAGCTGGGAGGATCCTAACAGGATGGGGATGCAGTAGATGCCCTATACACGCTCAGGGAGTAGACAACTGAGTCTGGTACCTATTTGAAGCTCTGGCTGAGCAGCTGAGTCTGAGTCCCTCACTGGTCCACTTGCCAGATGCCACGGATAGGATAGCAACAGGCACCTCCCAGAAGCCATCTGTGGCTCCTCCCCACTGCCCTTATCAGAATATGCTGTTTAGTACAGCACATGTGGTCTTCAATTTCACTGTCTTCCAGCTCTACCACCACTCCCTAGATGATCTTGAACCAGCTATTCATCTTCTCAGAGCCACAGTTTTCTCATCTATAGGATGAAAACCATTATCCCTCCAGGGGCTTTGCTCTTTCCATCTTCATGGATCCTTTAACACTTACAACGTGTGTGTTTATCCTCCTCTGCTTCCAGCCTTTCTGGCTGTCACTTACTATTCATTAAGGGACAGTGAGATGGGGTTCAGGGATACCTCATTAAATCACATACCATCATGATGGGTGGGCATTCAGATAGGGTGTACATGCATTAATAATAAGTTTCACTCATTTTTGAGACCCTTTCCATACTTAAGGGGGCTATTACTCAACTTCACTTAACCTTAAAAAAGTTTTGTAGAATTCTTATATACTGCAACTAAGGTCAGCAAAATGATGTAACAAAGGTTATTATGGGACTATACAAGAAGGCCCTGTTGAGATAGATTAAGAATGTTCTCCCCAAGGGGTGATGATCAATCTGAGAGCCATGATATGATTAAGACTTTTTAGATAAAGAGAGGGTTGGAGGAACAGAATGTGTGAGTCTCTTGAAGGCAAAGAAAAGATTATTGATGGTTTAGAGCACTGATGAAAAGGGCCACTATGATTTAATAAAAATCTCATATATATATATATATATATATATATATATATATATATATATCCCTTCTCCAGACAAAGAACATGAGGGGTAGAGATTATTCTATCAATCTTATTAGTGTGACCCAGACAGCATTTTTATGGGCACTACAACCCCCAGCCTCGTGTCCCAAAGTTGTCTGCTCACGTATCTCTGTTTCAGGTACAACCCATGTGTTCACTATTTACACAAACAGAAAGGCTCAAACTCTTGGTAGACAGACAACCCTGATACATGGAGGAGTGCTAGCATACATCATCAGGGCCCTCACCTTGACTTGCACGTTGTTATCCAGCAGGATGTTGCCTGGTTTGAGGTCTAGGTGGAGCAGGGGGTGGCTTAATGCTGTGCAGGAAGTTCATGGCCAAGCTGGTCTCATGCATGATGCAGAACTTGAGTGGCCAGCTGAGGCTGTGGGTAGGTAATATCTTCTCCAGGGAACCACTGGCCATGAACTCCATCACAATGCCCAGTGGCTGCTTGCAAACCCCATAGATGGACACATTGTGTTGAAACGTAATCTCCGTTTTGACAGCTTCTTCAAAGAGACAACTCATCTCAGAGCTATGGAGAAACAGGAACGGGATGGAAGAAAAGGAAACACTAGTTACCTGGGCTTTTGACAGAACATAGCAACTCAGCACGAGGCAGGCTGAGGAGACTCAGAGAAACCTCAGAAACTTGCAAGGTAATGGAGAAGAAGTGAGAGACAATAGGAATATCCAGGCAGCCAGCACTGGGGCTCAAGCAGTTATCAGTGAAAAGACAAGGGGTTTGCAGGCCTGGGAGTCCATCCATCCTGCAGAGCCAGCCGTAAAAAGCCTGGAACACAGTCTGCCGTTTATCCTGCCCACTTGCTTTCCTCTTCGTCTTCCCAGCAGCTTTTGAGTCCCTGGAAGACCTGCATTATGCTTCAAGCTTCCGTTTTAAAATAACATCTAGTAGCATTTTGATTATGAAAATAATGCATACGCCTCATAGAAAACCTAGGAGATACAGAGAGCTGTAAAAAAAGAAAATTAAACCTCCAGTAATCCAACCTTGCAGAGTTGGCCTTGACTAGCGTTTTAGTATGGTCTTCTACGACATTTTCCAGGAACCTCTTTTCCCTTTCTCCCTCCTTTTTGCCCCTCCCTCCTTTCTCTCACTTGTCTACATTGTTTTCTCCCGAAGCATGGTCTTCACTGGATGCAGGGTAGTTTGTGTTACGGATGAACTATAATCAGCACCCCTTGCCCCACCCCCACCCCCACGGGTTGCCATACATTGCACAATATGTTTTTGTGGAAGTGAACTGAAGTCAAGACTTAAGGGAAAGCCCTGTGAAACAAGCGCGGAAGGTCCTCTCCCCACTTCCCTGTGTGTGCCCAAGGAACTGTAAATACGCAAATTGCCAGAGACTGTTGGGGAATTGCAGGGATCGGGACTAAGGAGGAGTGGCATTTTAAAAAAGAAGTAAGGTATCTGCAGATCTGTGCTGGTGCCGCAGTGGGACGCAGCTGACAGTTGACAATGTGCTCTCAGGGTCACCCTGGGAACTCAGCCAGAGGGTCTGGCCTATAGGAACATCTTACTTCATGGTTAGCCTCCTCTAGGCCTTCTGCTAGTCCAGACATCTTCCAGACAGCTCTGGGGATGTTTTTACTGTTCTCTCTTTCTCTTGGGTATATGGAAATCAGTGTATGTCTGCCTAGAAGTGACCAAACTCTGGGGACTTTAGGTAGCACTGTTCTGACCTCAAGACTTAGTTCTATTACTTGAGATATACATGGCTTTGGAAAGGATTCTCTGGGCCTCGGTTTTAACCTGCAGAATGAGAACAGTTCCCAGCCACACCCAGACTTCTTCGGTGGGTTTATCTCTGGCCTCGGGTCCCATTGTCCTAGCCCTCAGTGGGCAGTCCAAACCTCCCTTCTCTGATACCAGCCTTGTCCACATTCCCCTGCGTCTCCCCACTGTCATTCTGCTTTCCCTTTCTGTCTCCTTGGCTAAGTAGAATGCTCAGCCCTTACACTCATCCCAGGCTCTCTACTCATTCCACCTCTCCTTCCGATTTCTCTGGTCACCATCATCATCTTCAATCAGACCTTCCGTGCTTCAATACTTCATGCGTCTGAAGCTTGACTCTTGGTCTTCGCATACAACTGCCTTATGCACCCCAGCCAATGAGCTCTCCATCCTCCAGGCCTCAGAAAGGTCCCGGATTCCTCTTTGACCCCTTATTTCATTCCCACAGCCAGTTCCATCACTGAAACACAGCAAGGATCTGGCTACTTCTTACTATCCCTGTCATTTGCCTCTGAGCCTAAACATCCTAAATGACCTTTCTGCTGCTAGCTCTTCCTCCAAGCAAACACTATTAAATATGAATATGCATAGTATGGGATGGAGAGATGACTCAGCAGTTAAGAGTGCAGATTCCTCTTTCAGAGGATCCAAGTTCTGTGCCCAGCACCACATGAAGTGGCTCTCAACCATCTGTAACTCCAGATCCAGTCAGATCTGATACCTCTGGCCTCTGTAGACACGTGTACCCATGCACACATACCCAACCTACATGCACAGATATAATAAACATAAATCTTTGAAGAACAAAAACATCACTGCTCTGCCAGGAGCCATCGGATGGCTTTCTTCTCTCTCAGAGCTGAAGACAAGAGTCTCTCAAAGCCCAACAAAGGTCCTTGTGGTCTCCTTGTCCTCACCCCTGCCACAGCTTCCTGACCCCATTGCCTCCTCATCCATCCCTCTTTCTCTGCCCACATGCCAAATGTGTTGTCCCTTCAGGAGCTCTGCCTGCATTGTTTCCTCTGCCTAGAACACCTTCACTCACAGAGCCACATGCCCTGACCATTCATCTGCTTCAAGGACAACACAGATTGCCTTAACTAGTGTCTCAGAAGCAAGTCTGTATAAACGGCATATCTACCTCAACTCTATCAGTCTTTATCTCTGTGCATGCAGGGAACCCACAGATTAATATTGCCAGACCAACTCTATTCTTGGAAGATCCCACTATTCAACTCTCTTAGATATAACAGTCAAGAAAGTATCTAGCAGTCCTAAGTACTATAAATAAAAATTGTATTTGTTTATCTACTCATTGTTTCCTCTGTTAGAATCTAAGCATGAGGGCAGGGACTTGGGTTCTTGGGTTTGTTTACTTAAGGTTTAGAATGGATGATATTGTCCCTGTCCTGGCTTCAATTACTACCTAACACATACAGCCTGTGAATGTTAGTAATGTTAGCACCGGTCTTTGCTCTGACATATGCTTGACTCTTCGTAACTGAAGGGCATCTTATGCTCAGCATATGTCCTCCCCAAACATGGGATTCATGATCTCTTTTATGCCAAGACCAAACATGGGATTCATGATCTCTTTTATGCCAAGACCAAACATGGGATTCATGATCTCTTTTATGCCAAGATCACCATTCAACAAATATTTATGGAACAAGCAGTGACTTCTAGTGGGTGCTGTGTTCCCCTGGCAGGCCAGGCAGATCTCAGCAGCCTTTGGTGTGCTTCCCACAGTCAACTACCAGCAGCACCCGGTCATGCTCCTCCTTTCATGCTGTTTCTACCCCCAGCACTATAGTCTGCATCTCCATCATCTCCTGCCTGAAGACATGAGCATCCTAACAAGAGCAGCATCAATTCTACCCCTCTAGTCCATTCTGCAAGCTGCACATCGAATTGCTTCCCTTCCACACTTGTTCTCCAGCCTGGCTGCAAATCCCTCAGTATCTGCTCCCTGTTCCTTCACGTCTTCAACTCCAGCTCTAAGGCCTTTCCCTTACATTTGTGCTTGCTGTGTTCCTCTTGTCACAGGTCCTTTTATCCTCATTGCATGCAAATTTCTCCTCACCGACTTAAGTCACACTCATTCTTTACATCTCAGCTCCAGGGTGACTTTCTCAGAGAAAGTTTTCTGATCTCAGGCAAACTCTGTCACAAAGCTCAAAGGACTGACTGAAAACCATTCATTCTCTGTGTGTGTCACAGGCACACACTCAGATTATGTGGTTAGTGTCTCTCTCCCTCTGAGCTGCAAGCTCCAGAGAGTGGTAAGATGTCTAGTGCACTCATCTTTTTCTCCCAGGGTCCAGTATAGTGCTGGGCCCATAGAGAACAATTAGCCTTCATCAAGTGGATGGATGGATGGATGGATGAGGGATCTAATGTCACAATAGTCATAAAGCTCCAAATATAATCATCCCCACATAACACACACTAGTTATAATTTTATTACTCCTTTCCATTCCTAAGAACTTGGGAAAGAAAACTGTGGGGGCAGTTTTTTAAAAATCTTTTATCATAGTTACAATATAGGCAGGTCAATGTCATCCACTTCCTCATTCTATTTATTAATATATTTCTTTCAATGCATGTGCGTGTGAATGTGCATATATATGGATGTGCACGTCACAGGACAACTTGCAGGAGTTAGTGGGTACTGGGATCAAGCTTGGCTGCAAATGCCTTTATATGCCAAGCTGTCTCACCCAATTTCCTCATGTTCTTTACTTCAAAGACTATACACGGTTTGAACAAATCTTAGAGTTAGCTAGCCCTATTCCAAAGCAGGATACTCTATGCAGAGAAGAGGTAGTACAAAAGCTGCTGTTGGGGAACAATGTCAAGTCTCAGAAAATATAGCAAATAGCATCTCAGTTAGAGTCACTGAGTTTCCAGTTGATGTCCCAAGATGTTTTATGGGAGGACACGTCTTTTCATATTCAGACCTAACTTTCTTCCTGGCTGTAAGGGTGAAGCATATAGCAAGAACACATAGTCATTAAAGTCAAAGGCAGGGAACGTATGGCTGTAACACACACTATGACAGCCAAGATCCAAAACAAACAGATATCATAGGACTTTAGACTTGACTTTCCAACAGGGTTTATGTCAGCTGGCAAGTGGTTTGGGGGGGTCCTGCCTTCAGTTTATTCCCTGTGGAAGGCCAGCAGTGTGTAACAGCTACATGGTGATGTCCTACTCGGGCAGTGCCCAACCTTCAGTCCTTTCCAGACTCAGTGACTGCCACAGAAAGAGAGAAGGGGATAACTTACAGGTCATTGAGCAGAATGTCACATTTCTTGGAAAGCTCAATACTGGCCAGAAAAGATGGGTGAGGAGGAGTATGTCTGAGCATCAGTTTGAGAGGCCAGGCAGACAAAGGCCTTTTTTGCAAGGTAGTTCCTACTCACCTTTGACGTCTTGAGATACTAACAAGGAGGTACTATTTACTTACGGTATTGGGAGTTCAGAGAAAGAGTCTAGTCTGGGGAATTCAGATCAGAGGGCCCTGTTTAAAAGCACCTAGACAGTTGCCAACCTCAGACCCAGCTCATCCCTTTCTCTGAGTTCCCTAGACCAACAGCTCACTCTACCTCAAGCTCTCCTCTGTGGAAGCAGGCTGTCAGCTACCTGGTGGTTTCCTTCTGGAGGCACGGGGAGCACTTGATGGCATACTGGGTCCTCCAGCGCTTATGCCTTGCCTGGAACACCCGGCTGAAGCCACCACTGGCTACTCAGCACCGTTCTTCCTCAAAATCATCTCTGGTGAAGACGGTGAGGCTGCCCAGCTGCTGCTCCAAGGGGCTGACTGCCATAGCGTCCGGGGGCGCTATGCTCTGCATGTTACTGTTGTGCACTTGTCTGTAAAAGTACACCCAGAGTGTAAAACACAGCCCTGACAGCTAGCTTCTGATTGGTTCCTTGCCACAGAGAGGGCGTCAGACCTCCTAGTGACCAGAACAGGAGCAGCAAGGTCATGTAAATACATGTTAGCCTGTTATGGCTGTTAAAATGGGGGCTGATCACTTTACTTTATAGACATTTTCTTGTTTAAATCTACAATAGTGTTATGATGTCAACATTCATTTACAGATGAGAGAACTGAGTATGAAAACAGCCCATTCCACATAGCTATTGGCTTAAGTGGCGATTGATACTCAAACCCAGATCTCTTGGTTCCTGGGCAAATGGTCTGGGTGTGGTGGTGTTTGAGTGGCAGCCTTTTAAGAATGTAGGAGAAAGGGAAGGGAAGGGTCGTGCTCCCTGGAAGAAGGTAGAGATGGCAGGGGCTACACCCAGAGCTGCTTTGGGGGATTTGTTTGTTCTGTCCCCTGAAACTGTCAATAAACTGAACCTTGATTTGGAGGATGGAGTCCATGCTCAGCTGATAAGAATAAACCAGAGAGTTTCACACCCTACTATTTGACTCCCGAGTTTTTATTAATAATAGAATAATTTAGATAGTCATTACACAGAGCAGTATCCTGAAATGATATCAGAGGGAAGATTCCAGCTCACTTAGGCTGGACCAAGACAGGGCCTTGGGAGAGCCCCTTCCTGCATTCTTAGGAGCACCCCTGCCTGCAGTCTCCATTCCCTTCCGGTGAGCCTGGGTGATTCGGAAGACAATGGCCACTGCAATGGGAAAGAGGGAGAACTGGAGGCCAGGAGGAGGTCTCTGGCCTCCTGCTGAGTAAATGTGGAGACTGGAAGCTTGAATGGCTCTCTGTCCTTGGAGAAATCTCACTCAGACCTGGACCTCTTCAACATTTGGAAGACCAACTTGGGTTCCTGGAGGAAAATACAGTGACAAACCATCCAAGTCACTTTGGTAGTTCCCAGTCATACCTGCAGGGGATCTCCAGGAAAAGCAGGACCCAGAAGCTTTCAGAACTGTGTTGAGAGCCCCAAAGGAGGACCAGAGGAAGCATCACACCTGGAAGAGGGGACAGCCAGGACTCAAGCAGGCTGCCAGGGCCTCAAATAAAACAACCCCGTGAGTTTCTCACCAAGGGGAAGATATATGGACCTGTTGGAGCTAAGTTTTTTTTGTTGTTGCTGTTTTGGTTTGGTTTTGGTTTTTCAAGAGAAGGTTTCTCTGTAGCTTTGGAGCCTGTCCTGGAATTCGCTCTCTCTGTAGAACAGGCTGGCCTCAGAACTCAAAGAGGTCTGCCTGCTTCTGCCTCCTGAGTGCTGGGATTAAAGGTGTGTGCCACCACAGCCTGGCTGGAGCTAAGGTTTTAACGCTGAGCCACCTGTTGAAATAGGCCAACTGTACATTTGAGAATTCTGGGGCATTGTGCAAAACATGAAGCATTTGTCTGTAGCAACTATAGTGCATGCGTTCCTCCTTTGGTCTCTCTAATGTGGACCAGGACAAAGTCTAAGGGTTTTGGGGGGGAACTGTAGGAGACATAAGCCTTCCTGGGTGCAGGGTCACCAAGGTCAAGCATAAGTGCAAACGGCATGACTTAGTGTAGTGGTCCAGCAGTCCTGTAGTGATCTGAGCACAGCTGAAATCCAATGGAGCCTTCCTCCAAACCAGAATAACAAGTCATTTGCATACAGGGAAGTTGCCCATTTGTCTGCAACCTCCACAACTGCAGACATGTTGCAGAGGGCATGCTGGATGTACTCTGACAGGCTCCTCCCTCAGCCTGTGTGCCAAGGGGAGGGCATGCTCAACGGACAGGAATGAATACATTCAGGAAGCTGGGGCATGCACTCTGGAAGGAGGAGAGAAAGAGAAGTGGAGTGGGGAGGGGCAGGGAGGGAGGGAAGGAGGGAAGCGAAGAGGAGGAGAAGGAAAAAAAGTAGAGGGAGGAGGGGAAAAGATTAGTCATAACATCAATGGCTGGCTTTTTTCTCCTTAGCAGTAATTGGGCCTTATTTTTATTTTCTTTTCCAGATCTGAGTTTCTCCATCTGTAAAATAGAATTACTTGGTCATAGGAATATCCATTCACTTATACCTTATACAAACATTAAATCTAAATGGAACATGGATTTAAATATGAAATAGAAACATAAAATCTTCAGAAAAATACTTTTTTCTTTACTTTTTTTCTTTTATCATTTTTTATTTTAATTTTATTTTTTATCATTTTTATTTTAATTTTAAATAACTTGTTTTACATGTCAATCCCAGTTCCCTCTCCCTCCCCTCCTCCCGCACTCCCCTTCCCCCCCACCCTCCCACCCTATTGCCAATTCCTTCCACATAGGGGATATCTAGAGTCTGTCATTTCACTCTGGGTAGGATCCAGGCATTCCCCTAAGAGTCCAGGCTGAGAGAGCATCCCTCTTTGTGCTATGGGCACACGATGACTGTTTGTATTCCAGGGATAGACACTGATCCACTGCTCAAGGCCCCATAGGTTGCCCAGGCCTTCTCACTGACACTCACATTTGGGGGGGTCCAGATCAGTCCCATGTTAGCCTCCCCGCTGTCAGTCTGGGGTCCAAGAGCTCTCCCCTGTTCAGATCAGCTGTCTCTGCTGGTTTTGCCAGCCCATTCTTTGCCAATTTGCTCATCACTCCTCTCTCTCTGTCACTGGGTTCAAGACAGGGTTTTACTATGAGTTCTAAATTGACCTTGAGATTACAATGCAAACAGCATTGACCTTCAACTCATGGTCTTCTTATCTCTTCCTCCCAAGCATTAGGATTGCAGGTGTGTATCATTTCTCATGGCCCTATATAAAATATTTCTGGCCCAGGGTAAGACCAAAAACAAAACAAAACAAAACAAAAACAAAAAACTGTGAGACTTAACATCATGACCATGTTTCATAAAGTGCAAAATTAGTAAACTTAACATCAAAATGAAAAATGTGTACTCTGAGGAACTGCACAAGATGATGAGAAGATAAACTGTAGCACAATAAATAAAAGACCCAGAGACTGATATTGGGGTTTAAGCTGCAAGTTGAAGATCAGAAAAATAAGGCAGCAGGCCACTAGCTCTCACCTCAAGCTCAGACTGAGAGGTGATCCTGGCTCCACCAAACCTCAGACTGAAATCCGAGACTGCTATGCTCTCCTCAGTGTGGCCTGAGAATCCTGAGACTCTATGCCTTCCTGTCCTCAATGTGGCTGGAGAATGAATGCCTGATACTGACTACTGAAGACCCTGCTCCTATCTTTTATACCTCTATAGTACTGGGATTAAAGGCGTGTGGTCCCAGGTGCTGAGATCATCTTTGTGTGAGATGTTTCTCTTTAGGTCTGGATCAATCTTATATAGATCTGGGTGGCCTTGGACTCAAAGAGATCCATCTATCTCTTAATCCTGAGTCCTGGGATTAAAGGTGTGTACCACCACCTCCTAGTTTCTGGCTGCTGGGATTAAAGGTACGAATCACCAGTATCTGATCTCTATAACCTGAGGCTGACTTTGCTTTCTGAATCCTCTGGCAAACTTTAATAAATCACAAATAATATATCATCACAATAAACCACACATGGGAAGAAAATATTTGTGAACTGAATTCTGGATAGCCATGTCCTGCTGGTTCCTAGGATATATAAAGATACATTCAAAGTTAGTGGCAAACAAGCAAAAATAACCATATGAAGTTATCTAGTTAGAAAATGGGAACAAGACTTAAACATGTTTTACTGGGGAAGATGCACAGATGGCAAATAAAGATCTAAGAAGATGCTCAACGTCATTAGCTAATAAGTAAATGCAAATTGAAACCACAGTGAGATGTCAGTGTACACGTAACAGAATGGTTAAAACAAATAACGGCCAAATACTGATGAGCAAATGCATTGCCTGTGGGGATATAGAATGGCCCAGACACTCTGCAAGACAGTGATGCCATCTCCGGCAAGATTCAATATATAATTACTGAATGACTTAGCAATTGCCCTCTGGGGAAATAAATCCCAGAGAAATGAAACTGCATATGATGTGAATTGTTTCCTATAGAATATCAGAAATGTGTGAACTAGCAGAGCAGGTGAAAGGTTAAACATGTCGAGGCATATACACAATATGGAGCGATTCTCAGCAACTGTTGATGGGGAATTACAATGATTTTCAAAACCAGTTGTAAAAAGCGTACATACATATTGCACATCGCCATCCACAGTCCTGAAATGACCCAATTACAGGGATAGAAAACAGGGTGGTGGGTGTCAGAAGTGGGCGTAGAGGAATGTAGATGCAGCTGCAAAATCCGTGTGAGGACACTGTTCTCTGTCTTGACCATGGAGGTGGCGCCATGAATCTACAGGTGATGGGATCACAGCACACTTGTTACAAATCTGCAAGAAATAAAATAGGATTCGTTTTCAAACGTCCCAGACCCACTTGAAGGTAGGCGGTACAATCCCCATGGACTGGGATTCTGGACTAAATTAAAAGAAGAAAGCAAGCTAAGCCTTAGCATTCATCTTTTCGGGGGAATGCATTGAGGCCAGCTGTCTCATACTCCAGCCCTTAGATCCTTTCTACAATGATGAAGTCTACCTTTAAATCTGGAGCCCCAAAAATACTTTAGCCTGGTGGTTTGTTACAGCATGCAAGGTAACTGATGTAAATACGGGCAGAAGTGTGTCCAGTAAAACAAATGAATGAGACTTCAAATAGGAATGGAGGAACACAGAGAACAAAGGCCATTCTTGTTATAAATTGGCAACGGATTTAGCTGAATTCTCTCTGTGTCCCAGGATCTTGTGCAAGGTCCAAACTGAGAGCAATGAGCTAGGAAATCTGGCAGAAAACCCGTCTAAGCAGCAAAGCATTCATGCTGCGTCATGCTGCTCATGGCCACATATGGTGATCTGTGAGAACAAAGGGATGAGCT